CTTCCCTACTCTCTTAGATGTTTTCTGGTTAAGAAGTCAGTCCGTGCCTGGCAAGCAGATCAGATCTGTGTATTGTGCTTGTTACTTTTTGATAGTGGTTGAAGATGTGTTTATAAAACAGTGGAAGCCTGTGGGTTATTTTTCTCACTTTACAACAGTTGTGCTAATTCACATAGAAATATTTTTTGCAGTTAGTGTTAATTCCATTCCCCCTGAAATCAGTAGGATTTCTGCTACTGTTTTCTGAGCATGTAGCCCCATGTATGAAAAGCAAATGCCTCTTAAAAACACATATATTACAACCCTTTTTTAGTCTCACATGTCACCATCTTTCCTTTTTATAATGCAGTAAGAAATTGAGGGAAAGTAAGTTTACAGTTTCTAGGTCATAACGCTGAGAAAAAAGATTTCACAAACAAGCTGCTTTATGGAAAAGAAGGTCAATTTGTTTTTATTCCATTTTGCATTAAAACATATCCCCATTGTCATGCAGTTGTGTCATTCGGTTGGAAGAAGACCTTCCAGAGTTAGTTTCAAACTGAATTTTCTTTCCAAGTAAAATAAGAGTACGTGCCCAGGACACTCTCCATGGCCAAATGATTGTGACAGTTGAAGAACTGCTGCTTGTACCAGAATACTGTACTGACGGTTGCTTTGGATTTTCTAGTTGCATGAACATGCAGCCTATTTGGTGGACAGTTTGTGGGAGAGCTCTCAAGAACTCTTGAAAGACTGGGAATGTATGACAGAATTGCTCTTGGAGGAACCAGTCCAAGGAGAGGAAGGTAGCTGTTCAACCTCTATACTTCATTGATATTGCACAATATTGTTAATTATTCATTAAAAAGATGTTCCACTGTGGGTGATAGAGATATTTGTGTTGTGGTTTGTGTAGAAAGCATATTTGAAGAAGATTTTAGTTTAACCCGTTTTAATGAAGTTTTCTTCAAAAGCAGATTTTTTGCACTCAATTTTTCATCTTGTGAAGTCTGCTGTACTGTGGGTCACTAATATTAAAGGCTAGGACTTCTTCTGATCTGAATATTTAAATAGCTTAATGCATACATGAACATTTCAATAAACTAAATAGCTAATACAATTTTGAATAAACAGGCTCTTCAGGTGGTGTTAATTAAATATGGGGCTTTTCCAGAAATGTTAAAACCTAATGAATTCTCAAGAGGAAAAAAAAATAAGGGGATTATTTTGCTATTGGTTTTGAATCTCCTTTGGCTAATAATAGATCTGTGGCTAATAATAGATCTGTGTGCACAGGGTAGCCAGGGAGGTTGGTGGCAAAGAGTCAGTAATGATAATGAGTGTCATTATCTGATTTGCCTTCAGAATTCTTCTGCTTCAGGGACCTTTGCAGGGGTTAGGTGGTTGAAAAACGGATGTACTCTTACTGCTTCCTAGCATCATGTGCTGATCATCTCAGTGTTTTAAATTCTGACCCTTTGTGTCCACATGCTACAATTGTGGTATTTATATGGCAATTTCCTTAGGAAATTAGGCACTTTGGTTCTTTGTTTCTGCATAGCCTAGTGGGGTTTGATCCTCTAGATATGACCAGAAGTAGTTCCCAAACGATGGAAGTAATACCGCATGACAGTTAGAAAATTTTAGAAGGAAGTGACAATGAGCAGTCAGTCGCTCTCTGTCCTCCATGATGCTCTTTGTTTTGTAGATCTTTGTTATATTCCCTTTCGTTCATCCTTTTTCCAGACTGCATTTCTCTGAAGTTTCAGTTCTGCCATATCCATTTGGAGATTATGTGAATGGTAATTCAAAGAGCAAGGAAGAAAGCATTGGTTTCATGAATGGGATACAATTACGTTGTCTGCATTGTTCTCTATACCCTGTGCTTTACAACTGCATTCACAGATCTGTCTTCTTTAAGATATCTTGCACACGCGTCAGAACTGCTGTTACCTGCTCTTTTCTCTCCATAGCAATGTCTGACCGGCAGGAGAGTGCTCTTATTGAGCTGATGGTGTGTACAATCAGACAAGCTGCTGAAGCACATCCTCCAGTAGGCAGAGGCACTGGCAAAAGAGTAAGTGGTACTGCAATAGGTAGCTCGGACCTGTGTATTTTACTATAGTAACATGAAATATTCATCTCCAATGCCACATTTTGACACTTAAACTAGATTTTTATAATCAGTGTTTACTGTTTCATGTGAATACTTTTTAAGAAAAATAGTAAAAATTCTGTTTCTGAACATGTTTAGGCTTTTGTTTGTTTGTGACATTTGGGGTTTTGCATTGCGAAGTTAAGGAATATCAATTTTCAGCATGGAAATCTGAATTTAATGATTTGTTAGATGTTCTTTTTATCATACCCCTGGCTTATGCTTATAATGTACCCACATCTACAGCCCTGAATGTTAAGTCTAGATTAGAATTGAAAGTGTACACCTTAGGAGCAGAACAAGATTACCCCTGACTGTCTTCCATAAAAAGGAACATGCTGCCAATATGGACGTAAAAATTGCAGAAAAAGCGATCAGTATCTTCATCATCAGAGTAGTTCAGCTCTGGAACAGAAGCTGAGAATTTGTGCAGTTTCCATCTTTGGCAGTTTTGAAGACCTGACTGGACAAAGCCCTGAGCACCCTGGTCTGGCCCTTGAGCTGGCTCTGCACTGAGCAGGAGGGGTGGGCCTGGGACCATCCTGAACACATCTGTAGTTTTATGTACCCATCCTCTTTGATCTCTTCCACTAAGCGCCCTAAAAATTTAAGAGTTAGACATTCTGGCCAGATTGCAATCTAGCTGCCTCTTTCGTTTATTTTGTAGTGACTGTTTGGGCATCATGAGATTCCATTCCTAAGAGTGGGCATGTGCTTTTCCGCATTTCAGTATACGTTACAAGGTCAGGCTGATCAATGGGCTTTCAGCTGCATTCTCCATAAATACAGCATCCACTTTCCAAAAGAGTCTTAGCTTCCCAGACGGGTTTCCCTGATTTTTGGTAGTCCTCCTCTTAGTTAGGTTAGACTGAAATGGAAAAAACCCATGTGAACATTTGGTACTTCTGTTAGGTTCTGTTCTGAATAATCATAAGTTTATTAAAGAAGCACAGACTGAACAAAGGTGAAATCTGGAGGTAGATTTAGCATTTTTTATTGCTAAAGTAAATGCAGCTACTTAGCTTCTTAATCTTTATGTGCCAAAACCAGATTAGCCTCATGTCCAGAAACAGCATCCCACGAAAAGCTCCAAGAAACCATCAATTTAAGCATGCTTTTTGTACCTTAATTTATAAAGCATATTCTGAGAAATTCCTAATCTATTAAAACATTTCAGTGGTGAATTCAGGGGGGAATCTATGAAAGCGCTTACTCAAATTTACACAAGCATGTATTGTCCTGTGTTACCAAAACTGTATTGTAAGGACAGCTCAGCTGTGTTTTGTCTCTAGCTGCAAACCATTCTAGCAATGTAAGCAACCTCTAAATTTAACAAAAATGTCATGTTTGTATTTTCTGTTTGGAGCAGCAAATAATGTCACTATTAGCTTTCCGGGTAATTTTTCTATCTCAAGAGATCTACTAAAGTTCAGTTCACTGAAGTTCAGCAAATTGCTTAGTCTTAGATTTTCAATGTCTGTATTTCTTCAAAGGTAAAGAAAACACTTCAGTAAAATTCTGAAGGGTGATCAAAAGAGCCTCAAGATCATCCTAGGGACCCAGATTAATTAATAGCACCACTGAATAGCGATGCTTGGTCACCAGAATGTGACTGGGTTGTTAGGGGGTGGGAGCCTGACTTGCTGGCTGCATTTGTGTTGCCTTCCGTTGAGCTCGTGGCTTTTGCTGGCATGGGTGGGGCTGCACCGTGAGTTGGTACAGGAGCTGTGGTTGCTGCTGTGTGTATCCAGCTGTCTGCCACGTGCTATGGAAGTGGTTTCTTACCCTGGTTACAAGTCTGTTCCCCTTCACGGGATTCCTGCTGACACAATAGGCTACCTGAAATCCAAGCAGATGTTTTATTTCCAGCTGTTCCTCCTCACTTAGAGAGATGTAGGTGTGACATTTAGCTTTTGCTTCTTTTCAGTTAGGTCATGAGTTGTGGGATGGTAACTGCAGGAATCTCTGACTTGTCAGTAGAGGTTTGTCATGTTCTCATGATCTCGCTAGCATATTCTTTTGAGTTCAAATGGGAGCAGATTTCTAATTATGCACTCACCTTCTTGTGAAATAGTTTATTCTCTGACTTTAGCTTGTAACCCTTATTGTGCAGTCTGGCAGCTTTGCTATACATAAATCATTAGCTAACTTGAATATTTTATTATCATTATTTGTTTTCAAAAGTGTTCTCTCCTTTTCTGAAGCCAAGAAGCCAGATCCAAGCTTTTATGAAGCATGCTGTTTTGATTATTGTCTCTGTATTCATTGTTTCAAGGTAGTTTTGCTATGACAGCATTAGTAGCTTCAGTATATCTGTCACTGCAATTTGTGAGTTCTGTGAACTTGGATGTATGTTCTCACTGAGAATTACATTCCCTTTTAGAGATGAGACCGTGAATCTGCTAATGAAAATCACTGTTACAGTGTGGTTTGGTTTTGGTTTTCTTAATTATACTTCAGTCCGCCCTGAGGTCTTACATTAACACATTGTTTAATGTGTGAAAGCCAGAGCTCAATTCGCTTGGAAGCAATAGCAAAACTTCCACTGACTTGGGTTATAGTTGAATTTCAGTCCTAAAATATGTTGATGTGTTGAGACAATATCATGCTGGATGACGTGATATTTTCCTTCTCAATCATGGCTTCTTAGGACACATGATCCTCCCATTTAATCACTCTTCAGTCCAAATGCGTTTGAGTTTTTTATTCCCTCCTCTTTTGATTTATTAAAAATACACTTGCATGGATTTTTGTTTGTAATACAAACTTCAGAAAAATTAATGAATGCTATATGCAGAAATTGTATTTAGTTATTTTTGATGATTTGCAGGTCTTGACAGCAAAAGAAAGAAAAACTCAGATAGATGACAGAAATAAGTTGACTGAGCATTTCATTATTGCACTTCCTCTGTTGCTATCAAAGGTACGTTTTTCAATAAAATAAATCTCTCCCTGGTATTTACAGCGGTCTGGAAACTTTTATTCTGTATTATAGGTGTTTATTTTTACTTCACTATTTTTATGTTTTGTTTCAATGCTGTTCTAGTACTCTGCTGATGCCGAGAAGGTTGCAAATCTCCTGCAAATCCCTCAGTATTTTGATCTGGAAATCTATAGCACGGGCAGAATGGAAAAGGTATAGTACATTGGGCGAGAAGTCTGGTTGCTTTCAAGGATCTGATTACTATTCTAGTCACACAGTACTATGCCTTCGTTCGGCATATTAATAGTCTAACCTTGATCTGTGAGTTCTTTGAATGACTTTTCTTTGAGTTTCATTGTTCAGGTAAAAGCTGAACTTCTGTTCTGATCTACAGCATCTGGATGCCTTACTGAAACAGATTAAGTTTGTTGTGGAAAAGCATGTGGAATCAGATGTTCTCGAAGCCTGTAGCAAAACCTACAGCATACTCTGTAGTGAAGAATATACAATCCAGAACAGAGTTGACATAGCCCACAGCCAACTTATTGATGAATTTGTGGATCGATTCAACCATTCTGTAGAGGATCTGCTGCAGGAGGTTTGTTTTCTTAAGATGAATTTTGTTAGACTGCCTAAAATATGCTAGGATAAACTGCAGAAAAACATCCTCACGAACTATTTCATAGTTATTTGGAGCTGTGTCTCCATGTAGAAAATCCCTTGGAGTAAGCATGAAGCCTACAACACATTGATGCTGTAAAACAAAGACCATGGGACAGTCCTGCTTCTGAAAATTTAGTCCAGTATTTAAACAGTCCATGTAAGAAATTAAATGCATGAATGGGTGAAAGCTGATGAAAAATGCAGGAAAAGGTGCATTTAGATTAATGCTCATGGTGATTCCAGTAGTCCCAAATGGATATGCAGGCAGCAGAGTTGAGATTGGATTATGTCTTGAATGGAAGAGAGGATTTAGTAAAATATTTATAATGGCATATTGAAAGAGCTCTGGGAAGAATGAAATAAAGATACCGGCCTGAAACCTGGAGGTTCCTGGGATTTACTTGTAAGAATTTATCCTTCAAAGTGCATAAGACAGAATACATTAAATAAGAATAGAAACCTTACTCATTTTTTCTTGCTTTACATTAGTTTGACTTTGTGTAGCACTACTTAATTTGTTGTAGTTCTTATGCTTTTTAAACATAACTTCAGGGCTGCATAGAGCTTTCTCTTCACTTCTTCTAGTCATGCACTGCACTGTGGCAGATACATTTAATTTTTGATGTACATTTATAGAAAGTTAAGATACAGTCTCTATTTTAGAATTCGGTATTAAAGAAAATAAGCTTTTTTCCTATCTTTAAATAATATGCCACATACAGGCATACTCTATGCATGCCTTGTCACATTGCAGAGTAAATAAAAATTTGTCTGTTGCTGTAGGAACGTACATGAGTGAAAAAGGCAGTGCCTGCAGGAAGCAGGCACTCCACAACCCAGAGGAGTTAGTGAGCCACTGTACATTCTTTGATAGAATACATTTACTTTGCTGTCTACCTGTCTGTGATTTTATATGTACTTTCTCAGAAACTTCTGAGCAGAACCTGAAAAGACATTCCAGAATTCGTGCTACATCTCTGCCCATTTGTGTGTGGCAAGGGAATCCTTTCAGCTAATGCCACCTTACACGTCTTAGCTGTCTGTTTCAATAGCCATGGATTTTTGAAGTTCCTCAAGTCTGGCCAACAGGACCAAAAACTCTGAGACAAAAACTTTGGAGCATCTGTTGCTGAGAAAGATCCATCATCAGAATCAGCTGAGTTTTCCACACCAGCTGCCCAGCAACTGATGACCGTAAATAGTGGCCTTTGCTGTTTCCATTGGTACCCACTGACAGAGGTTTAGGAGCTATAGTAAGGTCCTCACATTTTTCACTACCCACACATCCAACATCAAGGTTCAGTCTGGCTCTGTATGCGGGGACAAATCTTCTATGTTGTTTCTCCAAACCTGGCTCTTGGAGATATAAGCTGAAGATTCTCCACAGCCGAGCTCAGATCAGCAAAAAGCATCTCATTCACGTGGTCTTGCCTCGAGATGGAAGAAAATGCTTTTTCAAGAATCAGACCAAGAAGCAAGTGGAATCCCAGTTTTTTGACATTGTCTTGCCATTTCTGTTTACTCTCTTGTCGTAAGACATGATGAAAATGTCTCAGCTTTTTCTCATCATTTTATATATTTATAATTTTTATTTTGGAACTTCTCCAAAGCAAATGCCATGTTTGTTCTCTCTGGGCGGAGTCATGTAACAGCCAGTGAAACAAAGAGAAATTAGGTCTGTCTGAGGACAGGCGGCTTTTTTGGAACAGCCCCCTTCAAGATTCCATGCTGTTCAGCTGTATAGACGTTATTGATCTGTGGATCAATTCAAGGATTCAGAGATGGCATTCTGTTCCCTGGATAGTTTCACCCAGGAAAAGATCCACTCACCATTTTATTAGTATTGCTGAGACACCCACAGATAATTTTTTCAACTATAATCCTGAACTCAGTTAGCAAATACAGGAACACTTAGATTGCTCCTGCTGTACGGCAGCTGCTCTTTCTCTGACTTACCCATTCTCCTCCACACAGCAGCTTTGAAGAGGAGTCAAGACAAGAACCAGTCCTCTAGTTCCGTCAGCTCCGTTTCTGTCATCCACACAGACTTCTGGAAGCCAGCAGTCCAGTTAGCATTGAGTTTGTTTTACTGTAGCATCAGTCCCCTTGTTCTTGGATTCTCTGATCTGAGGAGATCCAGTGCTGTCCTGTCCTTTGCTACCTCGCAGTCCCTAGCTGTGTATTTTCAGAAACCCTTCTTAGGGAGTCCTTTTCCACGTCCAGTGTGGTCTCTGGACCTCGAAGAACTGCATTCCAGCTCTGCAGCAGTAAAGGTGAAAGGAGATTGGAAACCTACCTCTCTTCTGCCCCCCGCCCACATGTCAGATCAGTTATGCCAGCAAAGCATTTAGGTCCAGCTGGTTTAGACTAGAGATACGTGAATGTTGAGACAGTTCAGCAAACACACTCCATATCTTTACTTAACTGATTTAGGTACGCTGTATGGGTCTGCACCCCTGTCCTCACCCTTTCTGACACTGCTTGAAAGATCCCTCTGGCCTCACTTTTTACCCAGGGGGAATCAGGTGAGAGCAATGAGATGCTGGGATCCATGAACGGCTTCCCACCAGTCTGCTCGGGAAGAACTAGGAGAGAAAAACTTTTCCTGCAGTTTTCCTTTGTTACTAACTGCTGTTGGATCCGGAGGCCAGTAACTGCTTCTTCCCACTCCGTTTCCCTTCACTTCTCTTTGTGCAGTGCGAAATGCCCTGAAGGATGCACTGAGACTCCTGGGCAGAGAACAGAGACTGAGCTCGTGAAGGAACATTGGCCAGCAATTCTGAAATACTTCCGACGTATCCCCTTCCTTTACTCAGCTTGGGAAGGAGTAGAGAAATGCAAGCAAGGGCTTATGATCTTTGTGTATATTCGCTTGGGTGAGAGAGGGATGAGGCCTGAGTATTTCAGAGAAAAGTTGTGTCTGAAAGTCATATGAGAAATTAAGAATTAAGAGTTTTAGATCCCAAAGGAATAGGGAGTGCAGAGGTCAGACATGTCACATAGAGAAAGGTGCGCAGACAAAAGCAAGACAAAAATAGGAGGAAACAAGAAAGAGTGGTAGCAAGGATTTGAAATGTTGGCCTTCGTGATATTCTTTGCTGGGTGATACTTGGTAGAATAATTGATTTTAATACATCTATTTCATCATTGTAACAAGATTTTAAATTCAAAAATGTGCATACTTGTAGCCCAGCAAGTATCCCACTACTTCATGGCTTCCAACTAGGTTGATTATGACAGAAACATAGATTGACAATTGCATCTGAAGGCAGGAAAATGTCTTGTTAGGCTTTTAGATGACCAAAAAGTTGCCAAAATAAAGTGGAGGAGAATTGTTGTAAATGGGTTTCTTGTTTCAGAAAGTTGTTGGAAAAATTAAGTTTTGGAAGTACCTTGTTTCCATTTGTTTCACTAAGAGAAATTGCTGTTCAGTTTGCGTAAAATATTAGACTAATAGTATTTTAAAATGCCAGAAAGTAAAAATTAAATTTGAATGTAAAGTTTTGCTTGAATTGTGCAATATTTATTCTTGGACTGTTGTTTCCCTAGATTTGTAAAATCTAAAAAAACCAAAAAAACCCCAAAAAAAGAACAACAACAAAAACGAAACAAAAAACAAACAAAACAACCAAACACTCTTCCGTCCAGTTCTGAATGTATGTCAGTCTGGTCATGCATTATGGGGTGTGTAACACAGTAAACAGCCATGAAGCATGTGAAAGGACAGAAATTTTCCCACTGATCGTCTTAAAAAACTTGCTGTTGACATCTGCAGGTTTCTAGTGTGGAGCAAGTAAGCACGTGGCTTTATTCTTGCAGCACATTCATCAGCTGATAGGTAAACTGCAGTTCAGTCCTTTTTGTAAAATAAGGATTTGTAAAATAAGGATTTTTCAGATTTTATTCTTGGGCGTGATTTCTACTGCTAGAGGATACTAGTTTGAGCATTAACACAGTGATACTGCTGAATAATATTAGATGAGCTTGCTTATTTCCTAATGCTATGCAGTGGTTATTTAAATATTATTATTATAGAATCTAGGTAAAAGTCATTGGAAAATTTGGAGTCAGTTTTGGTGCTAACATAAACCTTCAAAGAAATCTGCTGCTTCCTGTGCAGTAATGTGTTCTGCTGGACTGCTGAACTCTCTGAACGTACTTCCTTGCATTTTCAGGGAGAAGAAGCTGATGACGATGACATATACAATGTGCTCTCCACGTTAAAAAGGTTGACCTCTTTTCACAAGTAGGTGATTTTTTTTCCGCTCGGAAATTTATTGTGTTAATTTTATCATTTCAGCAAGTATCAGTTGATGTCTAGTGTTAAGAAATGAGAAAATATATGGCCCAAAATATGAAATAGAGATTGATGGATGACTAGTGGCATTTGTCAGTATAACTGTCTGGATTAATCTGGGTCCTTGCTTAGTTAATGCCATTACTTTTACAGATTTGATTTGCAGGTGGCATACCATCCTTTACACTAATGCTTTTACACCTGTGAACATTTTAATAAAAAAGTCATACTCACCCTGCATGACAGACAGACAAAGCACAAGGGACACTTCTTATCTCCAGCACCAGTGAATGGAGGCCAAATCTGTGCTTTGAGTCTCAGCTTAGGGGAGCCCTGGAGGAAGTTGTTTCTCTCGGTTTCTCATGCCTTTAAGTGTTTCTCCTCAAAATTATGGGAATGAGTAGTAGTAGTAATAGTAATTAATAGTTTATTATGAGAGTCTGGAAGATGTGTTCTCTTCCTGAAGAAATATCAGAAATAGATTCTAGCTGAATTGTTGGCAAAGTATAACTGTGTGGCTTGCACAAAAACTCCTTCACTAAGCATGGGGTGAACCAGCCCTGTGGAATGAGGCAGCAGCTTCTCAGGGTCCTGCTCCTCTCAGATCCACTGGCACCTTCATAACTTGTTGAGCAACCCAGAAAATGTCACTTGAACTGTGAATTTTGGAGCACAGCACAAAGACCTAATCTTCCCCTCCTGTCAGCTGTAGGAATTAATTGTGCCTCGTCAGCGCATAAGAAAGCGTCGTATGCTGATGGCTGAGTGCCACAAACCATGTCTTCCATATCACAAGACGTGAGAGGACCTTGCTTCTGCCACCTCTTTTATCCCAGTTGTTTTTAGTGATTTCATTCTTTCTTTTCTGTGCTTAGTCTTCACGTACACTGAATGCTGCATTGGATCACTGTATGGAATGGTTCTGCAGTATCTGCTCTTTGTTTCCGTTGGACAGGAGTCCCACAGAGATCATTAAATCGTTACTAATTTCCCTAGTGCAGAAGGCTGACACATGTGCAAATTAGGTTTTCAGTCTCCCTGGTAACACGCTGGAGCCACTTCTGCCTTTCCTGAGAGGACTGGTGAAAGCTGTAGTTCACATCCAAGAAGGAAGCACAAATCTTGAGGCTTTTCTGAGAGTCTCCCATATATATTTTTTTTCCTTTAGGGTTCCAAAACTCAAAGGGAGTTAATTCAGACTATGAAGAAAGCTTTGTGGAAAGACACACAAATCAGAGTTGGGGACATCTACCTTGACCTTCAAAAAACAGGAGAGAAAAGAATCAAACATAAAGAGCTGAAGAGCAGCTGTGTATCCCTTCTCAGCTGATTTGTTATTTATGATTATAGTTCAATGGGAATTTCTAATTAATATCTGTTTGCATATAAAGAAGTAATGAAATCTTTTCATTACTCCACTGAATGTTACGTCTGATGTGATTCCTTTGTGAAAGGAAACAATCGTACCATCCGAGGCAGAGTTTTTGCCCCACCTTTAGCTATGAGATTAGGATCTTCAATTCAAAATTTGCATCGAGCATTCTCATCTCAAAGAACAGTGGCTGTTGTGTGGTACGGTCATCGTCTGTCATCAGCCCGGAGCCAAAATAAGTTAAATCAATGGAAGAAGTGGAAATTGCAGGCTAACAACTGCTACCTTTCAGATACTCTGAAAGTGCACTGATAAATTAGTTGCTGAAGTGTCAGAAAGAAACAAGTCCCTCTCCTCTTCTAGTGAGAGAAATTCCACTGTACCTTATCTGTGCTTGTGTTTCCTTGGTAGTTGCTGCTGCTTTATATTCTAGGAAGAAGCAGCCCAGCAAGTTGAAAAAAAATAAAAATGGTAGGGGATTATCAGAAAAGCCTTCCACACCAAAAAGCTTCTATATTGAGATTTCCCAAGGCTGAGCTAATCCTCTCTCTGAGAGGGTCATGGCAACAGAGGGCTCCCAGCACACCTTTTAATTCGTGTGTTTTCATCAGACAAGGATATCGGTATTCCAATACAGATGAAATTCATCATTACAATGTTTCCTTCCAAGTTTTCAGAATATAATAATAAATTTTCTTGAGGTCTTCTGAATAGAACATCTGGAGTATATACTTGGGCTTCTCTTTTTGCCAGGGTTTCACTGATATTTATAGCATTTTTTTCTGTCTTAAGTACATGGAGACAATTTTTCTGTACTGACTCCAGCCCAATTCAACTGAGCTTTCACACATAACACATCTGTAGCAGTTTGTGTGCTACAAAATGTCAACATTTCTTATTCTGGTAGTTCAGTTACTTCAGTTTTAAGCACATGAACCTCAGGCATCATGTCCATTACTCGGGATATGCCCTTTTGATGCTGTCTTGTATGCAGAACATTGTTTCACATTTAGAAATCAGTAGTTCTCAAATACGATATGGAATTTGATTCCTTCCTGTTTCCACACTGACTTCATAAGCCTGCGATGGCTGTAGTAACTCTCCAGATATGTCATGTTTTTATCAGTATAAGCATGATCAGTCAGGAGCTTCCGAGATAAGTAAATTCATGGTCAGACCAACCAGCAGCTCTTCTCTTCCTGTTGTAGAAACCCTTTGCTTGACCTCTTGTCCCATAGCTGACCAGTACATACTTCAGACTAAGTTGCTCAGAAGTTTGTTATATCCAGAAGAAGGAGAAATTACGATAAATGAAACCTCAGTAGAGAAATTACTAGCATAGCTGTTCAAAGCCCAGGGTAGAGCTTCTCTCACTTCGTGCTGCTTTAAAAAGAGAAGCGGTTTTGTGGGTGGAGAGATCGCCTCTTCTAAAAGGAAGTTTTCTAAGCTGCTTCGTTCCACGCTTTCAGAAACACTGCAGAACTGGTACCTTCACTTATCTGACTACTTTCGGGCAGAAACATGCCCCATCAGACAGTGTAGGAATGAAAAGAAACCTTTGATAAAATGTTGGGCCTTGTTTACCATAATCCACGAAGGCTCTGACGTGGGAGGGACTAAGGGAAGATTCTGTGTTGTGTGAATTTTCATTCTAGGAGCCTCTATGTCAATGTGAACCTCTGTAGAGAATTGTATTGTGTCCAAGGTACTTTTAAAACTACCGGTTTGATTGCCAAGTAGTTCACAAGAGGTAAAGGTGTACCAGAATATGCCTTTGGAAGCTGGAAAGCTCTTCCTGAGATCAGCTGTAAGGACGCCAGGCTCAGAGCAAAGAGCTGAGGTGTCAGGGCAATGGGACATGCCCCCTGTGATGGCAGCCTGATGTGGAGGGCTCTGAAATGAAAAGACAAAAATGAGACCGTTTTTCCTTTCATATTCTCTGTAGAATAATCTATGGTGATATCTGCCTCTGCACACCGAAGAGATTTTGCTGCTTTAATTACAGCACTGTAATTAAGGAGGTACATCTCTGCCTTGCTAGCGGCCCTGTGATTTGCTGAAGGAGCATCTCTGTGCTCAATATCACTAGTCAGAGGCAGTTCTCTGACAGCCTCTAATTTATATATAAAACATCTGATTTCCATACTTTGAAGACCATCCAGAATCTAAGGCGTGGGGGAGTATTTTTACATTTTTGTTTCCTTTTGTTCTATTCATGGATTTTATTTAGAAGTCAAGATGGACCTTGGCTTAATGACACAACCCCTAGAGTGCATATTTCACTTGTTCTCAGCACAAGGGCGTTAATTGTTATGTTTGCTGTGAAACTTAACGTGCTCCAGACTGGGAAGCGTTTCATGCTAGGGGTTTCAACAGGATCTGGGCATTCCCAGTCTTGAGTTTCGGAACTAGAAAATTATTCTTTCTGGCTGAGCAGGGTAGTTCATTGTTTAAACAAAGTCAGGCAGCTCCAAAGCAGGGCAGCCGCAAAGGGGTGGGAAAACTGAGCGTCTGTTGGTGATCAGGGTGCTGGGGTGAAAGGGAGCCAGACGCAGGAGGCTGCTTTATCCAATTTAGACTTGCCAATTCAATCTCGAGTGTCCCTTCTTCCAGGTAAGTATTTTAATCACCAAGTTTCTGCTTTTTCTGAGGTGGATTGCTCTTGGATAAACATATTAGAAATTGTTTCAAACTATCTCAGTTTAATTGCACTGCAGAAAAATGTGTTAAACCTAATTTTTTCTGTGAGACAGAATTTTTGTCTTTCAGGCAACCTGAGGTTTGGTAATTTCTTCTGTATTTCTCAGTTGTGTCTTAAAAAAGCTATATTGTAAACTGTTGAGGTCTGTAAGGCTGTAGAATATATGTTCCTAATCTCATTTGTATTCCTTGCGCTGGCAAATCAGGTTGGTACAACTGAAATGTGAAACAATGAGTAGGGGGTGGCAACCACCATCTCTGTCTCATATACATGTATGTCGTGCTGTCTCACTTTATGTATTTCAGGATATTTAATATCTAGTGATAATGTATATTATTTTTCTCCAAATGATATGGCAGAAAAATATTTATAACTTTGTTTTGCTTAAAGCTATTTTCCATTCAATATATATTGCTAGAGTTTGGCCGTAGTTTCTGCTGCAATGGCAGAGAATTACCTTCTGGAGTTCGGTCAATGTTTAGAACCGAAGAGGAAAGATAATTTAGAGGCAACACTGAGAAGGAGCTTATAGCTACACTTAAGTAATCTTTAAAGATGTATGGTATGCAGAGTTTTTCTCCTCCCTACAAAAATCCCATGTAGTAAACCATTTGTCCTCAGTTACCAGAAAGCCTGACTTCTGCTGTTAGCATGGTGTGAACTGATTGTGCAGCTGCTTTGTCAGCAGGCTGTATTGTCTCAGCCTTGCGAAAATACCAGACTGCTCTGAGCTGCCAGGTCAGACTGTATCCTCGCGGTGATGTGGAGTTTTGAGGAACACAGCTAATCTCTCCTTATTACCTCTCGTTGTAGTGCTCATGACCTCACAAAATGGGATCTGTTCAGTAACTGCTACAGATTACTAAGAACTGGAATTGAACATGGAGCTATGCCAGAACAGGTACAGTTAGCAAGATCTGCCTTGCATCATTTGGGAATTCAAAGTTTTAAAGACTCTAGTCGTAGAGAAAATCAAAAGATTAATACACTAGACTTCCGTTATTTAGGAAGAACGTGGAGGTTTGAAATAAATTTGTACTGTAGTGAGACATTGTCCAGGAGGTGAAAAATTTATGACTCTGTGATTTTTGAGCTACTTGCCTCATTTTTCTCATCTGTAAAGTAAGGAACAACTACTGTTTCTGGCTGTGAAAAGCAATACATAAATCATGATGTTTACACTGAAACCCAACATTTGTAAACCTTGGCTGCAATTCAAATTGGCACAAACGATTATTGTGTGTTGAAGGTAAGGTGGAAGCTTATGAAAACCAGGAAACAAGAACATTTAGCAGGGATGCTGGCCAGCCTTTCCAGTAGAGTTATTTTAATGGACACATCTTGGACTTTGTTTCCTCCTAGTTTGGTTTTAGTCTTCTCATGGATGAGCACAGAGGGACCATTTCAGATTCTCCCAGCATTCCAGTTTAAACTGCAGACTGCCTACTCCAGTATTTCCGCACATTTTAAGTTACAATCTGATTTCAATTAGAAGCCAGTTGTTAATTCTAACCAAACTTCCTTTAGAAAAAAAAAAAATTCTCATGAAATTCTGTATAAGTATTTTCTAAAAAGGTCCGTGTGGAGGACACATTTCCACACGCCATGTGAAAGTCGTGGCTTTAAGCTGTGGGACCTTCTGCTTTCTGCAGTTACTGCTTAACGCTGGAATTGTGCTACCTGCAGGGAAGGGGCCAGCAGATCAAAACTGTCCACACAACTACCAGCCATCTTCAGTTTATGGCTTTGACAGTGGTACGGCTTCCCAAATACTTCTGTAACATCTTAGGAGGAAAGTTCTGAAATCAGAACTCTCCTCACTATGTCTTCCCCCAGTCCTCTAGGAGTTCACTGAAAAGAAATGGTTTGATCTTTAGTGATATCTTTCAAAAAAGTATTTTGTGAAGCGATTAGAGCTGTTACAATCTTGATTTATTCTACACAGAACCAAAAACTGCTGGAAGCATCTTCAAGCCAAAAAGAGTTTGAAATTTTTAGCACCTAGTATGGATTTGAAATTTTAAAAGGACACCGTGGATGCTGTTATGGGCACCATAAATGTGAGCCTAGTCTGCTCCATAAGAAAATCTGAATATTCTCCCTTTTTTTGGAATTCGGGCTACGTGTTCATTTAACAACGGAACAGATTTCCAGACTGTTTTAGTAGTGAAGTCAGATTTAAAGGTGTTTAAACAGACGCTTTTGAACTGAGGTGTGTAGATGTTGGGTTGTACTTTTGTCATGCTGTGACATCGCCTTTTTCTGTACTCTAATGCACGGTTTCCAGTTCTGTTTCCCAGCATTTACACAGTATGTTTTTCACCTGTAGAAAGCTGTTTTCTTATCACACCAAACTGACTAAGGAAGAACGTAATATCCTTGAAAACAAAACAGACTACCTAAGAGCTGTTCCCACTTCTTCTCCCCAAAATGCATTATAAATTTTATGTACACTTTACTGATACGCCTGAGATTTCCATGTGCTGGGATTCTTTGTGTTCTCTCTGTTACAGATAGTTGTTCAGGCACTGCAGTGTTCCCATTACTCTATTCTCTGGCAGCTGGTGAAAATCACTGAAGGCTCCCCTTCCAAAGTAAGTAGGCATTTGATCATACAGATCTTACTGAAGAAACACAACTTACCTAAAAAGCCCTTAGACCTGATTCTCTGTAACCCCACCCACTGTACCGTCATATTATGTCATCGTGAAACAGATATAAAATGTTGGTGTTTCGATTTATTCGATATTTCAGGATCTGTTTAACATCATGCATATGTCTAAATAAGTTATACAAACAGTGGAAGCTTGTCTTTAGCAGGATGTTATACTAGCTAATTTTTGTATTTTTATTGCTGAAGAGACTTCATGCACTTTATTGTGAGTACAGCAGTTTGCATGAATGGGGAAATAATGTTAATAATACTTACCTAAAAGTTGTAGGCAATACTGTTGATCTGTACACCACCAATAGCTTAATATTTATGTGTGTTTACCTTGCTTACCTTTCACTTACATCTTTTATGTTGCTAAATAGAAATGTAAGGTTGCTAGCAGTGATGATTACTAATAAAGAGTAAGTGCACACAGTTGTAAAGCAGTATGAATAATGTATATGTAGCTTGTTCGTTGTACTTAGCTTTTCTGGGAGCTTTCCTTAGCTTTTTTCTCAATCAGAGGCCAAGATCCTGTCTTTTTAGGGCTTTTTCAAAAATAATACATCAAATTAAAATGATATGAAAACTGAAGTAGTAAATGTACTTCACTATCAGCATCATAAAGATGTTATACTAAAGTGCTACAAAAATAAGCATTTTATGCACATAAAAGTGAATAAAATACATTGTAAATTCTTTTGAGTTTTTTTGAATGCTGACATATATTGACATTTAAGAATAGCTACTAGAAGAAAAGAATAATTGTTATTGTTTATTCTGGCTTTTGTTACCATTTTCCCCTCTCAGCTTCTTTAGCTTCTTTCTCTTTAGCATGCTGGTAGTATAGAATATTACATCTTGACTCCTTGTAACTGGGAAAATTGAATGTATCCCATTTGTTTTAAATGAACTCAGAATCTCATCGCGATAAAGCATCTGAAGTCCTCCTAGCATTGTTATCGTTAGGAAGAAATTTCACTTTGACAGAAGGAGCTAAGAACTAAAAGTAAATCCAGGAGGTCACATACTGCTTCAGTCCTTTAGTCCATAAAACCAAGACACCGAATCTCATTCTCATGCTTCCCTAGTAAGGAAAACTGGACTGCTGGTTGCCTGTGTAGGGAGTGACTTGGGTATGAGAAACCAAACACTTGGAGCAGGTGCACTTAGAGCACCTGGTCGACTATCCAAGCCTGGACACTATCTGCAACACCTTTATTACATTTTTCCCCATGTGCTCTTGACTGTTGGGTCTTGTTAGATGTCTTGCCCACTCCTGGAGATGCCCAGCAACTCTGTCCTCCTATGTGCTGGGTCCCTTGAGCAGCAATGCCCAGTCTTGCCTTGCTCTGGGTACAGATGCGGAAACACAGAGTGTTCAGTAGGATTCTCGTCTCCATTCACTGCATATCTCTATTTTTTTTTAAACTAAATACACTAAATTGAAGCAGTATAACATAGATGGTCCAGTGTGATAGCTGTCAGCATTGCTGGAAAGTTTCATGTTTTCTTGTGTCTAAATTACAGCAAAAGAATGCAGCTAGTAACTAACATGTACAGCACCCTTCTCAATAGGATCTGGTCAGAAGCTTTGCATTTTGGTATCAAAGTATTAATATGGACTGTGGTTTATAATATTACCATGGTGGCTCAGTTAAACGGGAAGAGAAGAAAGGACTTTATGTATTTCAGTGCCTGGGGTTTTTTTGTGGACAATCCTAATGCAATTGTATGGCTTTGCCTGCTTTTTCAAAATAGGATATGTTTATATGAGACATCGTTTTATGAGATGAATGCAGAATAGCCTTGATCTTTCATGTATTTCTAATACTATTCTGATTCATATTAGTCGTAATGTAGTTCATAGTAATGGAAAGAACTATGAAAGCTCCATTGAGAATGACCATTCGAAGTACAAGTCAGTTCTGCTTATGGAATCCCCAGTGAAAATCATGATTACTCTAACCTAGAGAGCTATTGTTAACTTACTGTTGGGGGTTTCACACCAACCCCTACAAAAATGATGAGTGTTCTGCATGCTTAGTTCAAGAGGAGGACTGCATTAATGCCCTTCAGCTCTTCATACCTGGCCAGCAACTAAAGCTATGCTCACAACAGAAATGGGATAAAGAGAAATCCACAGACCTGATATGGTTGTAGCGTTTTGTTCTGTGTGTTTTTTTTCTATCAAACGTTCCATTGTAGTTTGTTCACTGAAAATAAATCTGATCTGCACTGTATCTGTTGTTTAATCTATTAGGAGATCAATTTGCCCGTGGTTGTTTTATAAGCCGTGATTTAGGCTTATAAATTAGCAGATATTAAAGGGGATCATTTCTAAAGTATGATGTATGGAAACACAAAGGCATTAACGCAAGCATCTCAAAATGAAAAGTAGCGTATTTCGTGAGCATTTTTTAAGTGTTCAGGCTTTTACTGGAAGATTTCTGACACAGTATTTTAATATGTAGGTCCATCCAGCTTTCTAGCGTTACTTTGCTGTAGCTGTAATGACCTAAGGACAGAGGGAGGTGATGGTTTGTAGGCTGAAGTGGTATCTTCAGTAGTCCAGTGAATATAGCTGTAGAAATTGGAGAGGCTTTTGAACATACCAGCTTTTCATGTTTGAAATAAAAGCAGAAGATTACAAAGCAAAACACAAGCTGAGAATAACTGCCTGGTTTCTGTTTAGATACAGATCGGATAAACTGTCTCTGAAAGGGAAGGAAAAAGTCATTGATACCTATAGCGGGTGGGAGCAGGGGGAGGCAAGGTGATGAGGCAATTACTAGGAGGGAAGTAGGAGCTGGGTAGTGGGGAAGAGAAGGAAGATGAAAGATGACAAGGCTAGTGGGGAGAAGGGAATTTATAATACATCGTAAAATTAATCCTGAGTCCTTGTTTATCTGTATCCAGTAGATTTACCAATTTTTGTTCCCAGGCTTGTGTTCAGAAGATGATTTTTTAGATTTCCCTTGAGCATCCAGGCTGAGAGATCAGAGGTGGAGTGATTGATTTGTAAGAAATGTTCATCTGCTGCCGGCTGGGTCATTTATGTGAGTTAATGCTGGCAAAGAGTAGCTGCTCTGTTTCACCCATGTAGCTACCATGTAGGCATTCAATGCACGGGATAAAGTATTTGGAATGAAGTACAAGATTCAAGGGTGTTAATGTTTCTGTGGGAGGAAGTATTTAGTTTGGTAGTAGTGGGCATATATTAGCAAGTTTTACATTTTTTAATCAGGTGTGCTCCGAATCCGTTAGGTGTACATTTTACTGCAGGAAGCTTGCGAGCGGGATAGGTGGTTCTGGTAAGATTTCTTTTAAAGTGATACTTTATATTACAGCTGTAATGTTTTGGATTATGGCTGACTACAGGAGGCTAGGTGTGTTGGTCTACAGGCTTTAGATGTGTGGCAGGGAACAACTGTTCCACGCGTGTGGTTTAAATCAAAGTAGAATCAAGTCAGCTCACTGATTTATTAACAACACATGATTAACTTGCTTATATGTGGCTGCTGTTGGACATGTGGGTGCTCCAGCTTCATGTGCACCCACACCACAAAGCACCCCACAGTCACGTACACGCACTTGATGTGTGGGTTCCCATGTGTTGCACCTCACATTGACAGTCCTTCGGAGGGTTGGAGGCTACTTACGGCTTCCAGCGGAGAGGATGAGCCACAGGTCGCAATGTTGGCGTGTCTGACTTGGTTTGACTGCTGCGCTCTTCCTCCTTGAGATTCCTCTCCATCATCACAACTTGCTGCTTTTATACTTCTTTTCAAGGTGACTCCTCCTTTTCTCAAAAGTTTCTTGGTAATCTCCTGGTTACTGTTTAATCTGGTCATCTAAGCAAGTTCATTGTTAACTTTCCCTTAGCATGAGCAGTTTTTAGGCAAACACTCCCTCAGAACAGGTCGCCAGGGCTGTTCTGTTCACAGGCACTGTTGCACTCATGTTCTCATCGTATCAGCTGTTGTTTACCCACGCTGTTACCAAGAGGGTGCTCTGCAGATTTCCCCACACTGTAACTGACAAATGATATTAAACAATTTTGATCATAGAGCTTAAGGAAGTGATATCAGCATAAAAACATTTCAAAGACATTTTAATATAAGGGTGATAATTATTGATTACTTGAATTAGCAAGAAAGTCCAAGTTATCTGCCCAATAATAAAGATTCCATCAGTTAACTTAAATACAGCATAGATTTGGGGCAGAGTTATTTTAAAACTGCTTTTCAAGGTAGCCAGTGGGAAAAAAAGGGCATACAGTGGAGTCAGTGGCTAAGATCTGAAAGGAAAACTTGATTACAAAAAGGAAGGTTGCAGCAGGTAAGGATGAAATGTGTAAGCCTTGAAATATCCGTAGTCTAATATTCTAATCTTTGGTTGTTGTGCTGTACGTGTTCAGAGAAGGTTGAGGCCATGACTCTGTGGGCTGTCGGTATAACTAGTGGTGAGCAGCACAGTACTGGGGGGAAAGTGGTTTATACTGTGTATTTTGGAGGAGCAGTCTGTTGTAGCCTAGAGAAAAACGTGAAAAAGGGTTTGAGGATGGTTTCAAAGCTGGTAATTTCTCAGCAAGAGTTCTTTTGTCTGTAAATCTTGGGAAGCAAGTACAGTCTTGAAGTAGGAGGCTTGGGGATTAGATTATACAGTTGTTTCCATCTAGTTTTCTTCATGTATTCAATAAGCCAGATGCCTGGGACCATGGTACTATGCACTGTACATGTATGTAATGGAAAGGAAATACTTGCAAAAGAAATAAGAGCAAACATTCAGAAGCCAGACAAAGGCAAAACAGTTCTGAATGAGCAGCGGCCAGACTAGCCAAATGCACAGCGGTCACAAAGCGATTAGCTGGCAGAGGAATCAGTAGAGGGGATTTAAAGAGGGGTTGAAAGAGCAACATAGTGACTTGGTGACTTTTCGTATTTACGTGGGCACAATGAAAGAAAGCACAAAATGCTGCAGGGAAGAAAAGAGTCAGAAGGTGCAAAAGGTTGGATCATGTTCCACCGTCAAGTTGAAAGCTCGTGGTTCTTGAACATTGTAAAGTTTATCAGCAAGGAGAAGGAAGCTAATGCTGCAAAGAAGTAGTTTAGAGGAAAGGCAGTGGGAAAATAAGAGGAAAAGCACTGGGCTTAGTATATGAATCTAGCAAAAGCACAGCATTTTTACATGGCTTCAATGGCAAAAGCAAGCTTCGATTTAGTGCTAGAAAGTAAGGATTGTGGATAGCAGTCTGTTGGGCACAGCTGTTGGGTTACAGGTGCTGGCAAAGCCAATACAAGTCCTTGCTCTTAGCGGCTCATTCTTGTTCCTGCCGTGGACTAGTTAAATTTGAAGGTATCGTGCTGTATAGTTCAAGAAATGGTTATTTTGATCCTGGGTCACTTCAGTGATCCAGTTCATGGTACACCCAGCAACGAAGAGGACAGTAAACTTTTTTCATACCAGTTTTTCTGCTGAAGCCAGCATATCAGGTGATTGCCCCTCAAGAGCCTTGGCTGTGCGCCTGAGGATGGTAGAAGACTTGAAAATCTATTTAATTTTTTTTTTCTTCTGATTTTTTTTCTTTTTAAAACAATTGTCATTCTGTAGTAGTCTGGGGATTTCTCCAAATTTAGAAAAGTTCCAGATGGCTCTGTTGCACTCTTCAGTCGGGCTTTCTTTGGCTGTCTGTAACTTTTCAAAACGAATCTTTGTCATGCTATCAAGAGAGAGGAGGATAATAAATAATGTATACCTACGTGTTACTCATTCTTTGGCAGAAAGAAAAATGGGAGACTTACTGGTTCATCTTTTAACCTGTATATAGGATTTTTCATAGGGTTTAGATTCTGCGTTCAGTTCATTAATATCTAAATGGAAGATAATTGTGATAGAAAGTAGGAAGTTATTAAAGTGATTGTAGTTCCAATGTTTAAAGCTGTAAATCAGATCATTATTTAACAGTGAACTGATACGCCTGACATCAGTCCTAGGTAAAATCTTGGACTGGCTGATAGAAAAGTCGGTACAAGGCTGAAGGGCAGGATGAACATGGCCAACAGATCAGACTGGAGGGAAAAAATTAATTTGTTCTTGAGAAGATTGTGTTTTTGATTGATAAGGAAACCAGCTGAACTACCAGTTTCTGTAAGACATTAGTATCACATTGCATTTCAGGTGAATATGTGAATTTAATGTAATTCACATTCAATAGCTCAAAGCTGATTAATCTGTTAGAAAAAAATCGTAAGTGGGAGACCATCACACAACGGGGATAGCTTCTGATGCATTCCAGGAGAGATCTGTTCTCTGCTAAAAATTGGTAATTTTTACCAGTCATCAGGGGAGATAAAAGTATTTAAAATGTGGATGGCATATAACAATTGGTAAACAAAATACAATTAAGAAAAAGAGGTGTTTTACCGCTGCCAAATGGAAGGCTTATACCTGGGAACAAGACAGCTGATGAGTGGCAAGCTGTGACTTAGAATTCCTCGTGGCACAAAGGAATCCTTGGCTATATTATCAAAGAAAAAATTATTAGGACTAGGAAGGTGAGGTAGCTCATGGACCTTCAGTGTCCATATCAGAAAATCACACTCATTCTATTGAAAATTCTAAGAGGTTCAGAGATTTACAAACACTTGGGGTGTTTCAGCATGCTTGCATACCTGCCTTCTGTTGTGAAGCAGTACAGGAAGAGCATATGGACCACAAAAAGGCTTTTCAGTAAACAAAGAATAACAAGATCTTACCAGAGGAAGCAATAAGAAAAGCTAAAACTAGAAATGAGACACATGGACTGAACAGCCAGCATAATTAAAAATTGGAATTTTTAGCAAGGAAAACGTTGCATGTACACGATGTAGATTCTTTAGGTTTAGGTTGGATGTTGTTCTGCAGGACACGTTGTCTTCCACCTGAAAGCTGGTAGAGGTGTCATGGAGGAACGTCGGCAGGAGCGGTAGGCCAGCAGTCTCGGTGTTACAATCCCTTCTTTACGTGAAACCAGTGATGGTGAAAACTGGGAAGGGAAGGATCTTCCAAGCACTGGCCCAAGTGCATGTGATAAGTTCTGCTGTCTGTGGGGCCCTGGCAGAGCTGCTGGTGGCACGGAGGGAGGTCCGAGTGCTGGGAGACCCATGGGGCGGCAGGCAGGGGTGGAAGCATTTGTGTTGCCTGAGCGATGCCAGGTAGCAGGATCTGTGAATCAGTGCTGACAAAGCTACTCCCTTTGGCAAAACGTGAGCCTAACACAAAGTCCTAGCGATTTCTGGTTCTCGTTTTCTTCTTGGGTGTTTGGTTTATCACTGCTGTAAAACAGAGTAACTACTCAAGTACGTGCCGAGAAGCCATGTGCATCTTCAGGAGATTTCTTGGTTATGATAGAGGCAGTCCCAGCTTTTCACATCGGAGAGTTCTTTTTCTTCTGTAAGTGATTTGCTGTTTCCATGCAGCTACTTGCTGTATGCTTATGATTATGCTCCAGTATCTTATGTTTTGTTTTCATTTGTTTTTGCTGGTTTATTTTGTTATATGTAAAAAAAAAAAAACCTGTTCATCAGGGTACAGCATTAATTCCCCCAGGTCACAACATACAGCTTTCCTATTGAACGTGCCGCTTCTGGTACCCACATTTAAAACACGTGTCAGTTGTCTCTAGATCGAGGTGATCGAGAACAGTCATTCATTTATCTTTTCCACCCACAAATCCTTCTTTCTCCAGATCAGCAAACCTCCCTCCTTCTTCCATAACTGATCAGATTTCTGTGATTTGCTGTCACATTTCACGGGATAATGTTTTTGTTGAACTTGAGATATTCAGTGGTATTTTACTTTTTTCTTCATGTTGCTTTATCTGAGGACAGATTTTTTTATAAACCACCAGGTAGGCTGACCCTGATGTATTAAACTTCTTTTTCTGAAACATTTACAGTTTACATTCAATATAAAATACAGACAAATAAACTCAGGAATGTATTGTTTTATTATTATTATTTATTACAGGGAAACTCGGAGTCATTCCTCTGAAAATTAATGACTTGTTTTACTCTGTGAATAGCATACTTTTTTGCAGCCTTTTTTTTTTTTGGCTAGTTTATAAGATTAAATGTATGGAATTATCACCATCTTTTTATTTTGCTTTTTCCCAGCAACCTTTTGTCAATATTTATGTATTATCCCTTTTTAATGTTTCTTCTAGGAGGACTTGTTGGTATTGAGGAAAACTGTGAAATCCTTTCTGGCTGTCTGCCAGCAGTGTCTATCAAACGTCAACACTCCAGTCAAAGAACAGGTAAAGGAAATGTCTGTCACATGCTTTTAGAAAAGTGTGAATATTAAACTGTAGTAAAACTCAAGACGACACTGTATCAAACTTCAAGTAAAATCATCTGTGCCTTCCGTGTAAATAAAACTGAACAAACACTCCATAACAAGCGCTCTGTTAAAAGCACTTTGAAAGCACAGCTAATGTCAAATTCGTTTTTGATACAACAGTAAGGATTACCTGGATGTTTAGGCTCATGGTCAGCTGTCGTAACTTCAGGCATCTCACTCAATCACCTAAACCAAAAGCCTGTTCCTTTAGACACTTACTGTACTAACAGATGGAAATAGGCACTTCCACAGGGTGACTGAGATCTCAAATGCGCTGAATTTTTCTCTGTATATTTCTGCTTTTTTTCCCCCCCTATTATTGACTAATAGAGAGTCTAGAGTGCTTCAAAGGCAGATGCCTCCAGCCTTGATGATATTTCATTATTTCGTTTTCCTAATAATTCAGTTAAATATAGTGGTGAATACTAATTATTGTATCGCTTTCCCATTGTGGCTAACAGCAGAAAATTGGGGCTTCTAGCAGTACAGGTCATACTACTGCATATTTTCTAGCAGAAAAAAAAATTTAATCCATTTTACAAAAATACTCTGAATAATCACTAAGAATGTAGTGTGCTCTTACGCTATGTAAAAATCATCACTTCACAAATATTTGTGTCTCCTTGAGAAATCAGAGTAAAATAGCTATTTTAGCAGTGTCTTCATTATAGAAATATAAAGATCTGCAGGGTTTTTTAGATTCTTGTCAGTATAACCATTACAGCTTAGGTTGCTGCTCTTCCCTGTTCGGTAGGCTGACGGAAAACTTAAGTGCGTGCGTCTCTGCCTCTGTGTGTGTACACATATGCCAAAATTATACGTGTGAAATATGATTGCATAATAAGGTATCGGATTTTTTAATGGTTCAGTGTTGTTATCCAGTTCTCTGGTTTAGATTTTTGGAAAGCCACACGTGCATGGAGTGGGAAGCTTCTGCTCTATGTATTTAGAAATTGAAATAGAAGAAGTTAAATCCAAGGGCTTGTTAAAATAACTCCCAGTCTCTGAAAAAAACAATAGCTGGTTTATTTGCTGAGATTTTATGAATATATGCTGATATATATCAAGTCTGTTAACATCTTTTAGTTGTCTATAAATTGTATTTTCGTCAGACCTCCCAAGATTTTGCAGAGACTGTGGGTTTTGCCTGTTTTTTCAAAGCTAATAGTTCATAAAAGACAGCTTTATTTTTTTTGAAAGATAGCTCTGCTTGGTGTTTACACTCTGTTCTGCAAGCTGATAAATATAAATATTAAAGGCTCAGAGATGTTGGTACTTTATGTATTTTTAAAAGTCTCTGACATGCCATTGTCTTCCAGCAGATTTAACTTCAGTAATTGTTTTTTTAATATTCTGAGTAGTTACTCTTGGCGTATTTTATTAATATTATATAATGTGAAAATGTCATAGTTTCAGGAAAATACCAACTGTTCTATCTTAAGCTAGCACTAATGTCTTTTCTGCATCAGCAAATGGCAAATGATCTTTCCCATCACTGCAATGTTTTTGTTCTTGATATATATTAACATGTTTTTATTCTCTTATCATTAGTGGCCACATTTTTTTTTCCATTGGTAATGTAAACTTTTCTTAGAAGCTCCTTTGCAGTTCACGATTCTGTGGAAGCTTTCAAACCTCAGCTAGACAAAGCCATGACCCACCAGACCTAGAGACAGCAAGTACCCCAATCAGAGTAGGTTGGACTAGAGACTGCAGAGCTCCCTTCCAGCTAACGCTTCTATGATTTTTTAATTTTCTTCCTTTGAAAGTATATTTCTGCAAGTGCAAGACTGTTCTTTAAGCCTTTTGTTTTACTGGATTTTTTTGAGAATTCTGTGTAAATTATATTGTCTCCCTACCATACTTGATGTTTAGTCTATTCATTCTTTCCAGAGAAGATCAATGTACATATCAAAGAAGCAAAAAAAGTGTGAAGTATTTATCAAAACAGGACTCAAACATTTCAAATTTTCCAAGACTATTGGAGTGAAATAAAACTCCTGTGACTAGAGACCTCTACAACATATAGACATCTGTATCGGAGTCCACTGCGGTCTTCGTATTGGACACTTTATATTGCACTTTCAGCGCATAATTCATATACTCTTTTTGTAGAGGTCCACATTAGAATGAGATTAAATTCTAGTGAGTATCAAAGGAGTTCAGCGCAGCTGAGGTCATCGCTGAAATGAATCACAACTGTTTGGATCCAATGGGGAAAAATCCCAAATACTGTCATCTGTCTCCAAAGTCTAAGTAAAACATGGTTTGCAATGTTACACGTTCTGTTCCTGCCCGAGTATAGCTCATTCAGATTTTATAACACACTCCAAGAAATCAGCGAGCCGCTGTGACGGTCAGCGTTCACAAAGATTTCATTTTGCAGGTTTGTGAAGCAGATTGCTCTCACTCACTACTTGTCCTTAGGCTCGGTTCAAAAATGTGTTTAAACACATATTTAACCATCTTTCTGTTCAGCTGTTTGTAGAGGGGCAATATAGGGCGGAATCAAAGCCTACACTGGATTTCATGACTCTATCAGAGCTATTCTACGATCTCTCTTCAGTTGGAAACGCCTTTGGCCTGCCACGTACCTGGGAATCATGATAGACACTGCCCTGAGTGAGACTCCTGCAGGCTTCTACGGGAAGAGACAGCACATCCAGCATAGATCTTCTCGGAGTCTTTTTGGCATTCATACTTCGAACCTTCCTCTCTTTCTCAGTTTTCAGAACCTGAGGTTAAAGATAGAGAAACTAAGATGATTAAAAGTAAGGTGTGAAAAGTGCTCAGGCGTTGAATGTAATGTAAATGGATCCAGCTGGCTGTGACACCCTGACCTGAGCCATTGGGGGAAATAGTGTTATTGTCATGCAGGAGAGTATGCAGACGAGCCCTTGAAAGAAATAAAGTTATTAATAGCTGCCTTCTTTCTGTGTTCTCAGGTAATAAGAGTATAACAGTAATGAGCCTACATCATTGAAAATTCCGCCCTGGTTGGCTTTTATTTAGATTTGAAAGCTGTGGAGAGTTACTTGATTCTTTATGTAGAAAATTGTGGATTAAATTCTGCAAGGATTTCTTTGCTTACAGCTGCTTCTCTGTTTTTGGGCTCTGACAGTGACTCAGCTTGGATTTTCCCTCATAACATGATTCATTTTTTTGCTTGTTTAACCTTTCTAACTGTTTATCTGAAGTGGTGTTTTTTCTTTACTGCGAATTTGGATACAGCCTTGGATCAGAGGTAGATTTAGAGTTCTTTTCATAGAGGAGAAATGGACATTTAATCTGGATCATCTGGACATGGAAGAGGTAGCAAATAAAGTTCCCTACATAGGATTCAAAGGCATTGTGTTTTAAAGTTAAGGGGAAACCCTCAGGAGCACTTCTCGCAGCACACAAACAACTACAGCTGAGTACAGTTATAGGAGGACATTTCATAATAGCAGGGGATATCTGGAAATTAGATAAATGGTATTTTGTTTTTTACTTACTTGACTTACGTTTCTTACTGCATTCATTTTCTTTTGCCTTGCAGGCTTTCATGCTGCTCTGTGATCTCTTGATGATTTTCAGTCATCAGCTGATGACTGGAGGTCGAGAAGGTCTTCAGCCTTTGGTGTTTAATCCAGATTCAGGCCTCCAGTCAGAACTTCTCAGTTTTGTGATGGACCACGTCTTTATTGACCAAGATGATGAAAACCAGAGCATGGGTATGTTTAGCTTTCGTGTTTTCTACTTAGCTTTTTTTCGTAACAGACACAGAAGAAGAAAACAGAATTTTCAGATCAGATTGCTCAAATGTTTTCACATTATTCCTTCTTTATTTTTGGGAGGTGTGAATATGAAATGTTCAATATTCAGTACTCCTTACGTTAAAGAAGAATAAGAACTTACAAAGTTCACTTCATGAAGAGATGTTTTCAGAAGGCATGGGAGTGGTCTGTATCTACATGCTATAAATCTGGATAAAATTATTCTTCCTTTACTGATCTATATTTTTCTCAATATTTATTTCCAAAACAGTACAGTCGTAGTTGTAGTTCAGCAGCAGGCTTCATTTAATATGGCTTCAAGGGAGGAAGTATGGTGGAACAGTACACGGAAGAGAAATCTTTTAGACTTACAAATAGAGTTATAGGATCCTGACGGCAAACCTCACCAGCAAAACTCTAGGCAAAGACGGCCTGAAGAAACTAATGTTACTAAATAAACACTCCTCCTGCTCCTCCCCCAAAATAATCAAATGAAGCTCAGGACATCATTGCTTTGCTTGGAGACTAGGATACTTGGGAAAGTATCGTGTGTGCTTGCTTGCTTCCTTGCTCCTTCCTATGCATGGGTGCGTGGCCATGCTTTGAGAGGCCGGAGCTTGAGGTGACCCCATCTCTACCTCCTCACGAGGATGACTTGAGATTTTTGGCTTTCAGTCGGGGAGAGGCAAATTTGTCATTTACGTCTGGTTTTAAATAACTCGGTGCTGCTGGTGTGTGTTATAAATGCCTAAATGCAAGTGCAGAGGTACCCAGTTTCTGAGTCCTGCATAGCTTTGGGAAGGAGGTGGATTCCAAGATAGTCAAACTATGTGAGAGAGCTGCTGAGTGCCTACTGCAGTGCACTTTATGGCACATTTCTGAATTTCCCCTGAACTCGGTTACTTGCACATTAGCATGACACGTAAGTGCTATTTTAGATCTTTTAAGATCTGAAATATCTAGTGATACATAGAACTAGGATCTCAGAGAACGTATTCTTGCTCTAAAGGTGCTTTCAGTCTTCTAGCTCCCCAGTAGCTAACATCTTCATTGAGCGTCTCTTTAAGGATTCCTGGGAAGAATACATTTTGAAACACTCCTGCACTAGAAATCTGTGTGCAGTTAATCATGCTTTATGAGTTCAATGTTCAGAATAATACAGCAAGGATAGATTTTAGGAGGACAGTGTCTGATTTTTTCTGCTCTTTAGCAAAACTGCTGTTCTTTAACATCCTGTGATTGGACTGGGAAGACAGCACAAAGATGGATGAAGATCTTTGTATGTAACCTCCATTCCCGAATGCTACTCTCACGCCGTGAAGTCAGTCTGACCATTTATAACTTTTGGTATTCAGAACACATCGGTCATGATGAAAAGAAATTAAGAAAAAGGAGGGAGGGGGGAGAGAAGGGGAGTGTGCTAACGGGCTTCAGTTCTGTGGGTTAAAGCATCTCAGGATTAAAACGTGCTTATATTAAAACGTGTGGATATCCACAGTCAACTCCACTGCTCGTAAGAGATTTCCTGTGATCAAATAGGAGACTTAGGTACTGTGGCTCTAGTAAGAGCGCAGCAAGAGAGTCTCAGTGACACTATCTCCCTTCTCCCGCCACCACAGGCTCTGTACTTCTTCAGACTGGTTAAAAGATTCCTTCCAAGAACAAGCTTTTCTATATAACACAGAATATTTACTTTTATCACAACTGTTATAGCTGATTAACTTATACAAGTTGTGGAATATACTTTTATTATATGATATTATATTTAACATTTTATGTGTGTAGTTTCGTTTTCGTTCAGAGTGGAGTCTTACATGGGGACTTACTACTTGGACACTGCCATTCAATGTTCATGTTTCTTACAACTGAATTTTACTTCCTGTTGTTATTGATGCTTTAGAGCCATTGATTTCATATTTGAAAATCCAAGGCACGCTGTGGAAGTATTGCTGCTTCTAATTTTCCTTATGTGAAATATTTATAGCTTAGTCATGTTAAAGACGCATCTCCAAATGTCCTGTGTTCAGAAGTTAGGCAAAAAGCATTCAGTAAGTCTTCACTGTGGCCTTTCACGGGGTAAAGAAAACAAGCGATTCAGGTCCGTGTGGATTACACTCAGTACCTACTCAGGACTACAGATAGCACCCTTGGTCAGCGGTGTGTCATGTTCCTGAACTTTCCTGGAGGTCCTAACATAGGCAAGACTCAAGAATTATCACCTTTCTGTTTAGCTTCTCCTGCAGCAGTCCTTACTGCATTTTAAAGAATTGATTTTTCCTAAAAGCTGCTCTTTGGTAATGTTGCTTTAGAACATAGCAGTTACTTGTAAACATTTTTGTTGTTGTTGACACTTTCAGAGGGAGATGAAGAAGATGAAGCTAACAAAATAGAAGCTTTACATAAGCGAAGAAACCTTCTGGCTGCCTTTAGCAAGTTGATAATTTATGACATTGTGGACATGCATGCAGCAGCAGATATCTTCAAACACTATATGAAGGTACAGCTCTGTGTATTCTCCTCTTCCTAACTGAACACAGATTGCAAGGTCAAGTCTCCTGTTCCTCTCCCTTCCAGTACAGTATTTAAAGGTTGAACGCTTTTGAAAGCTTTTCCAGCCTTACTTGATTTCTGGTAGTAGTTTGTCCTTTCTAAATTACACCTGCCACTGAGAAGCAGTAAGCTCTGTGCTGCCTCTCCTATGTAGCAGGAGTGCCTTATTAAGGGCAGCACTGAAAGTTGGTCCTACAAGGTGCTGAGTGTTTCCAGAGAGGCACCACTCTACAGAGAGTTTTTGATCCTGCTCCTCAAATTCATTCCTGGAATCCACAATAGCAGTTATCTGTTCAATGTCGTGTTTCACCAGGAGTCTCCCCATCTTGGTGCTTGCCATGTGGATGCAGATTTTTTTCTGTGGGAATGCACTACAGTATGTAGCGTACTACAGTATTTAGGCCCAATGAAATTCAGAACGACTTGCTGCTCAGCTACCACTGCACCCTGTACTTGCGAATTTACCTGCCAGAAGACAGGCACATCAGCAGTCCTGACGCTGCCAAGCAACCCAAAGCCCCTCAGGTTGTATCAGATTGCCAGGTATCCCTCTCCTGTCTTTCTGTAAGGGATTGTCATCATAACGACAACAATCAAGGAGGAAAACCTGGAGTGGGGAGCAGGTCCTTTACTATTACATAGTGTTTGAGATGTTGATGCGAAATATAAAGGATTTTATATATCCTCCTTCTCCTGTTCATTAGGAGCATGCAGTACAAGGGGATTTTTTTCCAGAGCAGGAGTTTCAAACTGAAGCTGTCACAATTCACATTAGTTTCCTACCTGCTGTTCTAGCTTGGTCTTCTCCTCTCTCCACACCCCACTTTCTCTTGAAGCTGGGGGAGAGTGAGAGAAATTGAATTTAAATTAGGATATAAATTAGAAGGATCTCTGTACCAAAGAAGGTAGGAGCAATATTTAAGGGAGAATGAAAATAAGTGGTTGCAAATGCATAAATATTAATCTGGTTATTAAATACAGAAGTATTCAACTGGTTGGTGGAGAAATATTCTCAGCCTGGAAGTTTTAATGATTATACAGGCTTTTCTACCCAAATGGTCAGTACCATAGGCTGGGGTTTTCAGCAACCGTTCTTCTAACACAAAGAAAAACAGCACTTCATACTGACTAATTCCTTACCCAGCTTTCTGGCTCCAGTGAATTCCTTTCTTGGCCACCTGACTCCCCGTGTGTTGTATGTGGAGCTTCACAGCTGTGTGGCAGTGTCTGTCCGCACCTACCTGTTGGAGGATGCGTTGGTTCAGGGTAATGTGGTTTCTTGGAATTAGCAGCCACGGGTCACTTTCATCAAACATTTCGTTTGGGGTAGGAAATACTCTTTTGTTTGGTTTTTAACATACTTGTTACAAAAGATAGTAACAAACACAGAAGTTCCTTACCTCATCACTGGGTGCAGGCTACCAATCAGTTTAAATTTTGCTATTGAAACATTACCTCCCACTCACACAAAAAATCTGGATATGAGACTAGGTTTTTTGGCAACTACTGCGTTGTTCGAAACAAGAATTACAAGTAATCTTTCTATCAAGAAAACTGTAAGAAATTGTATAAGAGGTTCAATTTAAAGAGCGTTTTTTCCACTTCTTTTTTCTAGTACTACAATGACTATGGAGATATCATTAAGGAAACCCTGAGCAAAACAAGGCAAATTGATAAAATCCAGTGTGCAAAGACACTCATTCTCAGTTTGCAGCAGGTAAGAGTATTGATTTTTGTTAGAAATGCCTCACTGCACAAAAAATACTGGACAGGATTTTCTCTGGTGCCCTTTACAATGAAGCAAAAAATACCACCCTGCTGTTAAGAGATTGTCTTGCTCCTCAATTCAGGCTGTCACCGTTCATTTGTCCTGTAATCTCTGTCTCCTTAAGCCCACACTGGCAAAGCTTTGGTCAGATTAAAATGGAAGAAAGGGAGAGAAGAGCCTTGAAGGCCATGTGGTCCAGACTGATTCATAGCATTTGTTTCCTGGTACCTAGTGAACAATAAGAACTAAGATGTCTTTTTGTTTTTATAATTCACTGGAAGTAATGCATCTTCTTGACATTTTGTCTAAATACTGATTGATTTTTTTAAAACTTCAAGCTAATTAGTTGAAGTCTTCCAATATTGTTAAACATGTTTTTTCCCTGAAAAATTTGTTCTACATCAACAATTAATTATTGGCTTAATGATGAAATCCATCCTTGTTCTGCTAACAGCACGAAGTCTGTGCTTCCCTAAATACCATTTAGGCCCTTGAAGTACCAGCTATATATCCATTACATATAGAAATTACTTCTATAAATTAGATGTTTTCAGATCAGCTGGACCTCCCAAAATTCATTTCAGAGCACTAAGGGATTTCCTGTAGCAATCTGGAAGCTGAGCGATATCTCTGAAAACTGGAGAATTCCAGAAGAATTGGCGAGTGTCAGAGTAATTCCTGCCTTTAAAACGTGGAGAGAGGAAGAAGCCAGGTGCCATAGATCAGTCAGCCTAATATCATTCCTGAAAAAAATAATTAGACAAGCTATTTGCAAGTGCCGAAGTGATAGGTAACAGCCAGTATGAATTTGTCAAGGAGATATCATGTCAAATTAAGCTGCTTTCATTAATTACATGGTAACAGAGCTTGTGGATAGCAGAGAAAAAGTAGATTTAATGCAGCTTGATTTAATATTGTCACTGACACTGTCTCCCTTGGTATTCTCATTAGCAAGTTAGGAAAATGTGATCTAAATGGCACTACCAGAAGAAGATACAGAACTGATTTGAAAACTACCGAGTAGTTCATTATTGTACTGAAAGGGCATTATCAAGCAGGCTCTGAAGGCATTTACCCAGTAATGCTGTCCAGTTATTCATTAAGTCTTGAATGACGGAATAGCAATTTTGCTTCCTCAGTTGATAGAAGATGCTGATCTGATGGGTGATGTAGGTGTTTTAGAATACAGCATAAGAATGCAGAACCATCTTGATGAGTTGGGAGAATAATAGATGCAATGCAAGGAAGGTAAGTGCAAAATTCTGTTGAAGAGTTCTCGTCCCCACAGCAGAAGATGGGGGACAAATGGCAAACAGCAGTGACACAGAGGAAAGTCTGGGAACTGAAGCAGATTAGAAGTCGAATGTAAGAGAACTCCTGTTACATGTCTGCAAAAAAGTCATGGTAATGTCCACTCTTAGCGGTAACAGGCGAAGAACAGAAGTCTTTCTCAAGAAAAGCATTCTCTAGCTCTCAGATTTTAACAGCTGAATTCTTTCTCTAGCTGTTCAATGAGCTTGTTCAGGAGCAAGGTCCCAATTTGGACAGGACATCTGCCCACGTTAGTGGGATTAAGGAACTGGCTCGTCGGTTTGCCCTCACTTTTGGCTTGGATCAGATCAAGACAAGAGAGGCTGTGGCGACACTACACAAGTGAGTGGTGGTAAATAAACCAGATTTTTGTATTACTTCAGATCAAAAGTTTTGTTCAGCATAGCTCTTCTAAAGTTACATAATCTTAGCAGGTCCTGGAATAATGATATATTTTTTTCTAGTTTATGTAGAAAAATGGTGGGGGATGTACATGTATGAAAGAAAGGAATTAAAACGAGCTGCTGCCTAATGATTTGTGCGATCAGAATGTTTGTGTGCACGGTATCTAGCAAGTGTAGATAGTTTTTTGTACCACACCACTGTGGATTCAGTACGCACTGAGGGCTTTTATAAAAAGATATTCCAAAAATATTTCGGAAAACTTAAGTGGATTTAAGCTTTTTATGTAACTGCTGTGTAGGAAAGTGTAGAAAGGTGCTGCTAAATTTAAATTACGACTTTCCCATGACATAGAAAGGTTAAAATATTAAAGTTTGCTATCTCAGAGACTTAAGTCATTAAGGCTAAGATTAGCAAAGCATGATCAAAATGCTACCAGACGCTTTCCTGTGCCAAGCAAGAGAGATTTAAAAAAAAAAGAGGCAAGGATAAGGCAAAGATAAGGCAGAGATGCATGTATCAGTATACTGGTGCGTAAATTCTCTTGATGCAGAAGTGTGATACCTAGTTATATCTTCCATATTATTCTTATTGCAAGCTTCTGCTTCATGCAGAAACAAGAGCGAGCCAACTGGCCACTCCTGCTAAGGCGGTGGCCTTCAGCACCCACCAAGTTTCTGAGATTGTGGTAAGTTCCTCCTTACCATCTGACTGGCAGTGTGTTGTCTTTGAGATTCAGTCCTCAGAAATGGAGGGGCAACATTTGAGTCCCCTTTGTCCAAAAGCAGCTTTCGGCTAGTAATGAAAATAAAAGGTTATGATGGGACATAAAGATACCAAGAATTTCATCACAGTTCAGATTCTGGGCAGCATTTAGAAGCCATGGATGACTTTTTAAAATTTTGTTTAAAATGTCTGAAAATTTTAATATTTCTTTACTGTAGAGATGGCATAGAGTTTGCCTTCAAATATCAGAATCAAAAAGGACAAGACTATCCACCTCCTAACCTTGCTTTCCTTGAAGTGCTTAGTGAATTTTCTTCTAAACTCCTGCGACAGGACAAAAAGACTGTGTAAGTAATGCTCCATTTTCTTCTGTGGGTTTTGCTGGGCTCTGTCAGTCACTGTAGTAGCGTGTGTTTAAGCTCTCCGCTTTGGGGATTTCTCAATCTAACAGGGCCTATTGGAAGTCCCAGTGAGATGTTTCACATACATAGTTATTCATTGTTTTGTGTTTTAAAGTAATAAAAATAAATGAGAAAAGGAGAATCAGCTCCAGTGATGAGGTGAGCTTGAGACCTCACAAAACAGTGTTCCTTAAAATTTCCCATGGGGCACTGAAAATAAAAAAGAATGTTTTTTTCAGGCTAGAAGAGAAACGAAATGAAATGTTAGCAGTGCAGGAAATTTACAGGCCTGTAAAATGCTGCAGTAACACCTGTTTGTGTTAGATATTTACATAAAATGTAAATATATATTTGTTGTTTATTTTAATATATTGAGTTAAACTGGGAAATAAAGGTTTGTCGAAGCTTCTGTTACTGGCACAACAGGGTAGAGAAAGAGGCTGAGAGAGGACATTTGTTGGTTGGGACAGAGCAGGGTGGTAACAGTCCTGGGAGGGTAAAACGAACTTGTTACGGCGGGTAGTTACTGCAGATGAAATACTGGAAATTAAATAAATCAGAGGTATTGTTGATAAGATCTGAATAAAGAGCAAGAAATCCTGTTTTATGAGCAACATTTGAACAGACTGTCAAGAGGGGCTTGCAGATATCACAGAATTGGCGAAGAGAAAACTGCACTAGTAGGGTCAAATCTGTAGTAAAGACATGTTGTCAGCATCACTGCAGAGATAACACGCTGCATTTCTACCAAGTTACATAGCCAATATCTGGGATTTGGCCACAGCGTGGAAGTAGTAAGGGAAAAAGGACGAGGAGTGCAGTCAAAAATCAGCCAAGCACTATGTGACCTCTGTAGAACTGAATTCTTTGAAGAACTTCATGACCATTGGAAAAAAGCAATTCCCAAATTTTCTGATTTACGGTTATAGATATCTTTCCAGTCAATTCTGACCACAGTGAGTGTAAGTTGTATGTATCTGCTGTAACTACCTCAGCTGACTCTGTCAGACCTTTCTGTAGTTTTTCCTTGAAGACATTTGTTTTAAAGGACTTCTCTATTAGGGTTAACAAGTATGAATGCTATAGCTTTATCTGTGTTAGAAGAAATGCATCTTGGTTAGCTTTGTATAATTTTTAATGTATACACACTTGAGCCAGTTTGAGAATTGGATGGTCTAGTTGGGCTAGCTTGGCACTCAATTTTTGAAACAGCTCTTCATCATTATATCCTTGAATCTTGTCAACCTCTGTCTTATTCTTCAGGACAGGACATAAGAATAATAGGATTTTATGACTATCTTCCTAGCTGAACCATAGGTTCTCCTGCATCTCTTAGTTTAACTGTCATTAGCCTGATTCCTGTTTAATTTAGTGAAGCTTATCCTTCCTGTACAGTAATCATCCTTTCCACAAGTTTCTGCAGTGTCAAAAATTTAAAGTGACATCATTCTGTACAGTTTACGTGACAGCTTAATTTCGCCTGATCCTTTGCATGAAATTCAGTACTTCAGGAGATCTTGGTTTTCAGTCTTCTGTGTTGCCATTTAAAAATTTTTCTCAAAGGTCCTCCTTCTCCCCTCATTGGTGCCCGCATACACAACCGCTGGCTTTATTTGCGGGACTGTAAGGGCTGCTGTGATGGAGTCCATGTCTCCTGGGCTTAGCTGTCCGTATTGTAGTCACCAGAGCTATTTACTTTAGCTGAATTTGAAGATCATGAAAAGAAATAGGCCCTTAAGGACATGATTTGTGTGACCTGTGCTAAATTACTGCTTTAAGATGAGTTCAGTCATGCCCTAGATTCCATTGGCTGTGGTTACCGTGAAATGAGTCAAGATAACTTGCTTCTATATGAAGATTTCTTGTGGAGGTGACTCCATTCCTTCCCTTGAGGGCTCTGTGGTGTTTGCACCCATCGGGCAGCGGCTGCCCTGCCCGTAATGCTTCGCTGACGCTCCATGCTGGGCTCTCCCGTGGGCAGCTGGTTTGCCCCTCTCTGTAGCGTGACCGCTCCAACCCCAGCCCCAGGGACCTCTCCCCCTCCCTCCGAAGGGGCTGCCCGTCCTCAGGAAGGTGCGTGACCACCATCTGCTGGAGAAGGCCTCTCTGCAGGAGCGCTGGCCTCCCTCCCGGCCTCCGTCTCCCCAGACTCAGCAGCCGGCTCTTCGTCTGGAGGCAAAAGTGCTGCAGAATAACCCTGAAGGTCTCATCAGCGTGTGTCTGCCTCTCACCCAGAAGCCCTCCGACTTGGCTTCCCAACTCAAAAAAACGAATTACCTACGTGATACATCTGCATCCGTCATCTGCCCCGGGTGCAGAACACCATGCCTGTTTCCTTTTGTATTTGGAAGGAGAAAAGGGAGATGTTTCCAGTTTGGGAATGGGGCAGCAACAGTGGTTGAATTTAGTTTTCCTGTCCTAGTTATTTATTCAGCTTCTTATTTTATGAGTTACCTCAGAATCGGTGATAGCCATTTATGGATTTATTTGCATCTATGGAATGAATATAAACTATACATTTAAGGTGCTAGGCTCTTCCACCTAGCAGAAAAAGATTTAGACTAGCGCAGTTACAAACAGACGAGGCGGATACGGGCAGGGAAATCCCGAGGAATTCCTCTAACACAGTATAGAGGTGAATTGCCCTGTGCAGCCATTTTTTTCCATTTGTTTCTCTCAAATAGAGACCGTTAGCTTAGATTAGGCAGCTGACTGCTGGGTGTCTGAAGTCGGATGAGATGGAGCCTCAGCATGGTGTGCTTACTTCTAGGAGTTCAGAGTTTCTGTCCTCACTGAAGCTGGCGAGAGCTGCCAGCATGAAGCTCCTCTGAAACCCTGAGCAGAAGTTGTCTGAAGTTTGCCATCTACTTAGTAAAGAACCCCCAAGTGGTGTAGTTTTTCCTTCTTCACAATTTGGGCATAACCTGGGCACTCTAGTTTTATAAACATAAACTGGATGCAGGAAAAGTTCTTACTGTCCAAGACTATTCTGCAGATGAAGTCACGAAGCGCTCGAGTGCTGTACTGTTTGGTACTGTGAAAGAGAGAGAGAGAATGAACCAAGAATCTCCCGTTTGGTGCTAGGTGTGGATGTTACGCTGTACACACATGAAAAGGGGGAGGAAGAAGCGGTCACAATGTTGAACAAAACAGCAGACAGAAAAACTGCGGTTTCTGGAGCAAAGTCGTCCTATTCACTGAATCAAAACAAAACCCTGTTAAAAATTGGATGTGATTGTTACCCAGGCTTGTACAGTGTGGTTGCTTGTCCTGTTCTGATACCTAGGCCAGGTGAGAAGTTTGAGCCTGCCATCAGCTAACAGAGGAAAAGGGAGATGGCAAGTTCCTTTCCATGCAGAATTTGTGGGTTGGACTCCCGCTGAGTCAGCCCGGCAGTGTGGTGTGAAATGAAACCTGGATCGAAGTGTGCACCCTAATGTATTCGTGGGAAGGGTAGAGGTGATGTTGAAGAATCTGAGGTCTTTTGCCTAAATTTGGAATGCTTGGTTCTGCAGCTTGAAATTCATTAGAATCGCTTTTACGTGGACTTGTATATTCATTCTGAGGATTACTTTTAATACCATAATTAAATAATCAATGGAAAAAGAAAACAACCCAAATGCCCTCCAGACCATATACAGGAAGGAGACTGGTTCCTCCCGTAAGTTAACAAGTGTGCACTGGACTTCTCCATGGCAGTGGAACAGATCTTCCATTTTTTTACTGAAAAATAACTGCTTGCATGTGAGGAAACCGTTTTTCTTGTTCCAAGAAGCAAAAGGATATGCTGCATCCTCCCAGCAGGGGTTCTAATTCAGCCTGTCTGTTGACACAGTAGCAGTATATAGAAGTGGCTTCCTCGCTATGCAAAACAGAAAAGGAATTGAAGGAGAGTGTGCTGTGAGTGATCGCAGACAAACGTGGGAGGAAGATGTTGGGGAGAGAACGTTGTGTGTGGTTGATCTGTGAGTAAGGTGTAGGTGGTGAACTGCGTTACTTTGTTTTGAGGGAATGACGTGTACGCTTCGTCAGAGATGCAGTGCCCTATCAGCATACGCTGTGAAATTAAAATAAGGATTTGTGTTAAGCTCTCAAGAACGTGAAGAGGGCTTACAAATTAATTAGAGAAAACAACGTGCTGCTCCTCTATACTCACTGTCTGTTACTTTCAGTCACTCCTACTTAGAGAAGTTTCTGACAGAACAGATGATGGAAAGAAGAGAAGATGTGTGGCTTCCGCTCATTTCCTATAGAAACTCACTAGTGACGGGTGGTGAAGACGACAGAATGTCCGTTAACAGCGGAAGCAGCAGCAGCAAAGCCTCTTCAGTAAGGAATAAGAAAGGACGACCACCGCTCCACAAAAAGAGAGTGGAAGGTTTGTATGGGTTCAGGGTGCCGGGCAGAGCCATTTCTCTTTCTGTACATCTCTTACAGCCTTCCTTCTTAGGAGCCCTTACGGTTTATCATTTAATGCTGAAATATGTGATTCATTCTGCATGTAGTAAAAACAAGATGTCTGCTCTGCAAATTCCTATCAAGGTTAAACACTTCTTTATGAGAAATATCATCATGAGTCCCTGTAAGAACAGGGACAAGACAGACAAGAGTCTGTCTTCACTGAGATCTGCAGATTCAGAACTATTGAAAGCTGTTGCTGAAGTTGGAGACAGGAGGTGTTTTGTGGAGTTACCTGCTCTGTGCCTTTCTCAGTCATGGACTTCTGGTTTTCTGCCTGTGCTTCAGGCCGGAGCCGTTGTTAATTAACAGGGTGTTAGAGCAAACCCAGGGCAGAAATGCTGACAGAGATCTGTGTTTCTGCAGGACCACTGGAGAACACTAAAAAGACACCTGTTGTCATTTAAAATAATGTTGACATCCAGTGTCTGTATTTACTTTTTCTCTGACTTCAGGCACGTTTATCAGGAATTTGGGTATGATAGCCCATCCCTTACAAGACTGCATCTGTTCCTGGTCGATCTGTGTGATGTAGTGTGTAAGTCTGTGGATATAAATTTACTGTTTCCCTACTTTCCCTACAGAGTAGGTATAAGTGGGTTCTTGAAACTCCAGGGATTTTTCCAAGTTCAGTACCTACGATAGTGACTCCTCATGAGGAATCTAATGCCAGTTTGTCTGAATGTACAGCAGTTTCCAAAAATACTCTTCAAAAGTTTGTCCGTATGCATTTGTACAATCAGGGACATTCTCCACTACAGCTTACGTTGAGCAGTGCGTGCACCAGGTCCTTCAGTTTCTTAGAGCCAGCCTGGAGTTTAGGTAGATAAAATACTGCTTCCTTTCTTCAGACACTGTTTTGCTTCCTCCAGGATGCCACGTTTTGGGGGTATGGGCATGTCCTTTGAACATGACAAATACAGCTCTGGGTCACAGTGCAACATACTGGGACAGCACATTGTGAAGAACACGGGTTAGGAAGTTCTTCCACTCTCCTTTCTTCAGTGTGAAACCTATAGACCTTAAATTCATAGCTCACTATGCAGACCTTCGTTATTCACGAAAGCTTTGCTGTACAGCCTCACTAGGTAGGTCCAGGAAGGATGTATAGCTCATCGTTGTTTGTTTTAGCCCGTAACAGCATAACTGTCTGTTCCTTGATCGATGCCTTCATTGTAGAATTTGACTGCTAGATGACAGAACTGAGAAGTTACCAGCAAGTGCTCTCTAATGACAGCAGCAGCACAAGCTCTATGGCCTTTCCCTATATGGAAGGATATGTGGTGCAAGCACCAGAAGTCTCGGTTTAGACGTGTGTTGATACAGCACAATTGATATCATACGTTAAAAAAACCCACTCACAATAACATAAACAGTTGGAAGCACGCCACTTAATTTTTGGATGCTTCTTGGTGTGCAGTAGGCATTACTGTTTGCATTATGCCCTAGGTATACTTCCTTCTGAATCGTGGCAATAGGAAAGCCAGGAAAATCTGGAGTCAGGTTGTCTGTGTTTTCACAGGAAGACATAGATTTCTGTCTTATTTTCCATCTACCAATGATAAGATCATTAAATAATCAGAGATTTAATCCTCAGAAATAAGTCCTTACTGTTCACTCGTCTGTATAACCTGAGCTATGAAGAACCAGCCTGAACAAAACAGCTGGTTGCCTGCAAAGTAACTGATGCTCTATACGTAGTCTAGACACAGGTCTGTGTTGTTTTTTCATCTTTACATATTTTTTAAGTCTTCCAAAAGTCATAGCTTTAGTCTTAATCTGGCAGTACAGTTACTAATTTGGACTTCCCTTTAAATCCTGCTAAGGTGTGGGGTTTTTTTTCTTTAAATTCCGCTCTACAGGAACTAAAGAAGGGCAGGGTCGCCACAGAAACTAGTCTTGCATCAAAAAACATAACTAGTCCCCTGTGGTTCCTTTCTCACCTCAGTCCAGCATATACTGGGTTCA